ACTTCGTAGTATGTTGTGTTTATCGAAAAATTCTCAGCAAGTGCTCCTGCGGAGTGAATGATAATTCGACAAGGTTTGAAGAGTAGGCCCTTGCTCAGCCATCAGTCAATATTTAACATGGAAGTGGAAGAATCACTGAGAATAAAAAATGCACATCTGTGCATCTACTTAAGCACTTTCTTGAATGCCCATGCATACACGGCTTTATTTCGCATTCACTCGGCAAATAGAAACAGTGAAGATGGTGGTAGGGGAGAAGAGGCTACTTATTTAGCACCTCTTGAAGAAAGTAGGGAGGTGCTTGCTCTGTTAGGAGTGCTTACTCTGGATTTTATGGCATTTAGAGCATCTCTACTGAATGGTAATATTTTGGGTTTATATATACACTCCCAAGAACACCCCACCCCACCTCTCCAAAAAAAAGTCGCAGAAGGCAGTGATTCAAGAAAGAAAAAGAGCCCTGTAAGATGGCTCTGGCAATTAGAAGGTTGTTTGATTGAGCCTCCTCCAGAAAATTTTTACAATGGAACGAGTGGATTGAGCAACAAATAGAGGCTTTGGAGGAAAGGAATGGCCGACTTCAGAACCCCTCTCAGCCATAGGTCGGCAAACTCCCTCACAAGCCGAGTCACTCAAACTCGGATTGGGCCATAAATGAGAATCTGAATGAGCCATATGTGCAAATACATTTTGTGATTGAGTGAGCTTCACATTTTTTTTTGGTCGGCCTGTGCTTTCAACACACCTTCGACAATTTAAAGTTAGAATTTTTGGTGAGCCTGTAGTTCGCGCTCTCTTCTTTTTTCATTCATCTATAGTTAACACTGGCCCATCTGCCCTATGTAGGTATAGCCGAAGCTAAAAGGAACATTTCACTTTACACCTGTATGGTAATCAACAAAATTTTTGGTGTGTTTACGAAACAAATGTAAGTCGAGCTTCTTCTCCCCTCTCATTGTTTTTCAGCATGACATTATATCTCGCCTAGTACCTAGTCTATTGGTGGCAATAATGCATTAATGTTGTGTCTATTTATCACTTTCTTTAGCCCCTGAGCTATGTTGTGAATGTAAGGACTACCCACGACACACCCGTTACATGCTACGCTTCTCGCTTATTATGTTCACAGAAGTCCATCATAAATCTCTACCAACAAGCTCAGCTGTCCATCACTCTAAGCTGCAAATTTCTAAAATGTAGTGAACATTCTTTTTCGTGATTTCTTAATACCTATTATCTGTCACCCCTTAGGTTTCTGTCATTCAGTCATACCCTCCAGGTCACGCTCCTTTGGCACAAACACTGCAGCTGCTGCTACCACCACCACGGCCTATATTTCACTTCAGCCATTGCTGCATCACAACCAGTATTACAACTTCTGAGCCGCTACCACAGTCTTTCCCAATGATGCCTCACCTTGACAGGGCTTCACATGCTTCCAAAGGAAGCTATCAGGCAAGTGTGTACTGTTAAGAAATTTAGCTTTCAATAGCATTGATGTTTTCAATGGGCAGATTAATTGACAAGTCTGCCAACTTCATGCAACTTGAACAGGGTTGAACCTACGTGTGTCTGTCAGTGTAGGGAACCAAGTTTATGTGAATTTCAAAGTAGCTTATTTCTATTTTATTTTACAATACTGCAGGCCTCTTCTCAGACCCATGCAGGAATGGATTGAACTTGAATACACAAAAATGTGAGGAAAATAAATAGACCTTATGTACAAAGCAAGTAAGAGCAATAAATATGCACATTGTACAGTAAGCAAGGTGTTCATATAAGTTCTGAAATCTGTTCATAAATTTGACAGAAGAGGAGTTCACAATATCAGCGGGCAGCATATTCCAATGCGAAATGGTGTGCAGAACTGAATAATATTTGTAAGGGTTATGTTAATAATTTTGTGTATGAAGACAGCAGGGCAAGCAAAAATTAGAAGAAAGTACTTTTTCATTGTTTGCTAGATATGAAAGCAGATTCTTTTTCCACAATTTTCGTGTACCGTGCAATCCTGAGCAAGTGCTCCCACTATGGTGAAGGTGACGAGAATCGGAGGGGGGGGGGGGGTTCTTGCTCGGTCTTGCATCAAAAATCAAGATTGTGGTGAAAAAGTCGCATGTGCTTCCAACGAAACTGATACACTTTAATAAATATGCATGAATTCACTATGATTCTGCAACCTCGTTGCGCTTCTAAATAAAGAAAGTGAAGGAAACTGCAGAAATGGCAGGAAGGCGGGGGGGGGGGGAGTGCTTGCTCAGTTGTTCATGCATGTTTTAAATATCTTGAAAGAGAGAGGATGGAACTCGCTTGTGGGGGCACTTGCTTGAGATATTACAGTATTGTCCTCATCCTGCGTATCTTTTTTAATCAACTGAAAAAAGCGACCTGAAAGTAAATGGCCCTTTTGTAGCTTATTGTAGCTTTTGTAGCATTTGTAGCTTATTTTCTTTGTAAATTGACGAAAAGCATGAAGTTTAGCATTTTTTAGCGAAAAGAAAAAGCTGTCCAACTACTAATGTTTACGCATTTACCGAACTCAGACACAGTGAAATAGATAAGGTGGCACAGTAAAAAAAGTAGGTCAGCACAGAAAAAACTGCAATTTTCAATGCATAAGTAGAGCTCCATCTTCTCGAAATGCCATTTTTCGTTATGTCAGTATGATAATTTTGAAATGGCAAAAGATGCCATGCTGATTGTTTGTGCACATACTCAAGCATTACATGGTGGTGTACTGAACTGAACTTGATTTTTTTAAAATAACTTTCATTTGATCTAAAAGAAAGTGTGCAAAATGTCCAAAATCATGTACAGGAGCAAAAAATCCAATTTTTTAAATAAAATAAACCATTCTTTGGTTCGGTCAATAGAACACAAGGCTCTGAACAAATCAGTATAAACTTCTGGTTGCTATCATTATTACATGCTTAAAAATGATTACAATAGGGTAAAAAATACGTGGAAGTCTGGGACTTGCCGGTCTTCTCTAATCGACACAGTGCTCTGAAATAAGGCAGTGTTTACATACACCCGCAGAGCTGTCTTATTCAGTAATGACAAAGTAGATACATGGTGCAGAAAAGTTATTGTTGCTACCCCTTAATTGGAGGCGGTAACCGGGTAGACTCCAGTGGCTGACTTAACAGCCCCCAAAATGCACTGCTAAAGCTTGAACAGTTTAACATCAGGTCCTTTTAGCAGGGGTGCAACAACTGCGCCAATCGCGCCAATTTGATACAATTCCCGATTGTTGCACCGAGCTGTGCCAAACCCGTGAAATTGTTAAAATTGCACCACGCTGCGCCAAAATGCCCAGCCAGCCTCAATTTTTTTTTCAGGTGTGCTAATTGCGATGAGCAGTGCAGGCCATGTCGGCCACCTGCAGCTTTGCGCCATCAGTCAAAACGCGCAGACCCGAAGTAAAGTGCCTAGAATATACCTAAAATAATCTAGCCACCCACCCTATGCTCGTGAGACGTGATCGACCAGTTGAAGTAACAACACTGCATGCCTATCGGTCCGCTGATCACAACAGATACGTATCGGCGGGACGGCAGAACTTTAAAACAAAAATGTGTTGGTGTAGCCACCAACCCTTCGCGGAAAATGTAAATTCTCTTGCCAGAAATGCGGCTATGGCTTATTAAGGCTCGAACAAGCTCGACGTGCTGCAAATGCCGGTGTTGATTACCTTAGCAGTGGCACATAACAAATTTTGGCTGGAAGCTGAGTCCTTGCCACGGTCTTGGCGATAGATATCTAGTACCGTAGCTGGGGCAACGGGCGTGCTCTGTTGTTACTTTATCTGGTCAAACTCGTCTTGCAAGGTAGCCGAAGCGGCACATAGCCCCATGCTGAGAAGGGCGGGTTGGAAGGGGGTGGTGAGTGGTTAGCAAATTTGTTGACTTGGGTTCTAAAGCTGCTTGAGTCACCTTTGTCGCGCTAGACCGGTGCCCGCGAAAAGGCGTGTTGAGATTTACAAGGGGCTGTTTGCGATACTGGGACACCTCCCATTTTGCTCAGTTACTCATGCGTTTGTACACCGTTATATTCTGAGTACCAGTATAATTACCGAAGTATAAATAAGCTACTGGCAATCATTTGAAGCAGTTTGTGACATTTATGCTTCTCTACAGAAATAAACTAAATTGTGCGCCAATTTTTTTTCACTACCTCTAGTTCTGGTTTTTGCTAATCTTCCAAATTTCAAGCTCACAATATCGGCAGATTGATATTGAAATTCTCAGAGTTTGTCAATTGATTTAACAGTTGCAGTAAACGCTAATATAGAGTTTATCATTGCTTCCTTAGAGAGGTGGTTCAAAATACTACCTTCATTGAAATAGTAGTAAATACTATGCTCACACTACATAATTTAGGTTATGTTGAATTGTTTATACATGTTTTTTCTTTAAATGTAAGCCGCCTTTTTTATAGTGCTCCAAATTCGGTATGTCATGATAAAAATGCATGTTCTTTTTTTCCATAACCAGCTCCGAACTTGGAATTTTGCTGCTCCAAAAATTGCTCTAAATGGTATTTTGGCTGTTGCACCCCTGTTTTAGCACGCCAGCAAATGCCAATTAGGGTCCAAAGATAAAGTCTGAGCTCAGTGTTTTGTTACAAGCATGAAGCAATCAAGGAAATAGGAGCAAATGGGAATGCTATAGAAAGATTATCACTTAACTCTTCAGATTCAATTTCACAAAAAAAAAACACTGGTTAAAGTCAATTTCAGTGCTGCTGAGAGTGAGTGGGTTTTTGTGCTGTCGGTAGTCTCAACGAATAGAAAGTACTGAGAGCACACCACGTAAACAAGCCAAGTAGTGATAGTTATCCAAATAGCACGCACCAGCACTCGTAACTGCGCCCTTATGTTCAATGGTAGCAGCTGTTGAAAGTGTCCATATAATTGCCATTGCAATATTTTATTCTAAATGAATGGCTACTTAAATCACTGGACAACTCAAATGGGTTTAACAATGATTGTGAAACAATCAAGTATTGCTCATCACAAGCATGAAACTCTGGCACTCCAGAATATTCAATGCTTCAAGCAATGATTTCGTCACCAGCCCGACTAGTCCCTCCATGTAGACTGCAGTATTGACCAGGGGCTCCCCTGCTGCAGTCGATGAATACTTGTTACTCCTCAGTGTCACTGTGTGAGACTCTCTTTCAAAACACCTCCTCAGTGACTGCACAGCATCATCTATAAAATCTTCATCATAGACTGACTGACTGATGCCCTAATAAGGTGCTATTAGAAGCTGTTTGGTATGCAAAACATCACACTGCATTGTTTCAACTTTTTTCTGGCCAGTGTTTTTCTTGGCAGTGATGTAAGATGATCAATGGTACTACTTAATAATGTAACACTTCTCTGGACATTCGAAGAACTCTTCTATATCATAACACATTGCCTTACCAACTGAACCACTTCTGCATTTACCCTGTCTCTGCGTGCTTATACTGAGCAGCACCCTGCATAGGTTAAAAAAAAAATCTGCGAATCATTCACACTCACTCAAAAAATATATTTTTCCTTAGGGCTTACTAGTAGACTCAGACTCGCGGCTCAATGCAAGTCTGACAAGTCTGGTGAGTCGACTTCCGAGCCCGTTAAAATATGATCTTTTCCACACATGATTTCAATGCTCCTTAATAGCAATATGTTGTATAATTGGTGCTGCAGTTGATCTTTTCCACACATGATTTCAATGCTCCTTAACAGCAATGTGTTGCATAATTGGTGCTCCAGTTACAACCTTTCAATCTCAGACTTTTATATAGTGACTGCAACCCAGTAAGGTAATCTCTATTCAAAGAGATGGCACCTAAGATACTTTATGAGAATGTCCCGGGAAGAAATTCACAGGAGGGCATGTCAAGGAACCTCGACTCCCCCACCCCCTCCTTGTAGTTCTGGCCTCTCAGCTATAAATATTGAGTTGGTGTACAAATTCTTGTGCATTGAGATATGTGTGAGCTGTGAAAATTGAGAGCTTAAGGTGCAAATCCATGTGGAGGGAGGCCGCTACACTGCCACGAGACACTGCAAGGTGCCAGCTGGAGCACCTGTTATGCAATATATTGCTTTTATGGAGCACTGAAACAAAAGGTGAAAAAGATAATCATATTTTAACGGACTCGTAAGTTGACTCACCAGACTTCGTCATTAGTCACTAACAACACAAAAACCCTTCACTCTTGGGAGCACTCACATTTGCTTTAACCAGCGTTTTGTTTTGGAGAGTTAAGTGAGATTGAATCCAAAAGAGGTAACTGCTAATATCGATTCTCAATTGCTATAATTCTTGAACAAGGGTGCCAATAGTTGCCATTTGCACCCTGGTTCGAGGAATATTGGCATGACTCATCCATGCATAGCAAAACAAAGGCAAAGCCTTGAAATGAATAAGTTTCTTGCATGCTTTTCTCATAGCACTGTAACGGCTTCCACATGACATTGTGTCCTGAGTTCTCATTTTTTCGGGGGGCTTTTGCACCAGCATTTGGTGTGAAGCATGCTGGCTATTGCGCGGTGCCTTCTTTCAGAGGAGGGTGCAGGAGCATGCTTGCTTCAGAGAAACAGCTATTGATAGCTCGTGTAGCTGCAAAGGGCTCTTTAGGGGCTGTGCTTGGGCGCTTCTTTTTTAATGCTGTTTAAGTGCTCATTTGTGTCAGCTGTGGTTGCATGCTTGTGTGGAATCACCTTATTTTATGGCTGACTTAATTATAAAATTGTTTTGCTTTTCGGGGGGCAGCACCCAGTGGGGGGACTGCCGCTTACAGTTCTGGCCCTCATAAATAACAAAGTAGGCAGCTGTGCTTTTTTTTGAAAATTTTTGTTTGCTGTTGATGCAATAATACTAATCTCTACCGGTTCCACGACATTCCTCATGCATGCCATTTACACTCCTGCTGCTTGCACTAATTTTTTTTATATCCATGTACTGTATTTGCTCACATAATAATTTCATTTTCTTCATGTTTGAATAGTTTACTAATTTAAAGGTGTGGTTTGTACAGTGGGTAAAGTTTTGGAACAGGTCGACTAAATTTAAAACTGGAGGCTGGAATTGTGATGACTGCGTTGTGCCATAACAAAACCATATCAGGTTGAAGAGTTCCTACCTTCATGTTACAGGCACATGTTCGCATTGCCTTGTATTGAAGAAGCCCTGAAAAGCCTTTCCAAGTAATCATCAAATGTTTTCATTCGAGAAACTTATTCATCCCAAATCGACTGTTGGAAAAAATTTTGCAATCTGCGAAGTACTAGCGGAGCTACAGGAATTCGTCACATGCTTCACGTACTTTCTTTTACCTTTCGTTCGAGTGAACTCGCTCAAAGCCACGCAGGAAGGGATGACTGGGGGACAAGAAGCTATGCCTATTTATCAACGTGCGTTCTGAACTTGAGCTCTTTTATTTTTATTCCCCCCCCCCTTTTTTTTCTTCAAACATGGGGCTTCTTCTCAGTGTAATCACGAACAGGTGCACGGGCATGTGGCAGCCTCCGGTTTCGGTTGTACACATTGCACTTGAAGCGCAGTCAGTTGAATTTGGAGCCTTATTTGTTCAGGGGAAACAGGGTTTTCAGGTGACTGCTAATAAATTATAAATAACAGGCTGCGTGTTGCCCTATTATGTCTGTCTCACATGCTCTAAGGTGCCTCGACTACCCTCGGCAGCATTTTCTGACCATGCTCGAAAAGGGTTGCTGGGCCACTTAAATTGCTTCATGGAGAGTGTTGTGTATACTATACTGAATTTGTGAAATGCCCATTTTACCATGCCTAATTCCTGTATATCTGCCATCTGCTACACCTTATAAGAACAATTTGAAAACGATTCAAGTGATGACAGTAGATGATCGAGGCCCTTAAATTGCTGGACATTAAATGTTACCATCAAGGCATTTGAAAAACAGGAGGAAAAGCTCTCTCTGGTGCAAGTGTGCCCTTAATTGGCTATGCTTTATATGGTTTTGACTGCTTCAACATCATCAAAGGGCTTGAAGAACAAGAAGAATAATTCTCTGTGGCACGAGTGTGCGACAAAATGCTCAACTATTTCTGGTTTTCCCACTTCTCTTGAACTTTATTGTTATAGTAGGTGTGCCAAAGTGAATTCTAATATTGAAGTGTGTGTGCAAATTGAATATTTTTCTGAAATTTCTCGAATACTTCTAGAATTTTTTTCAAATACTTCATGTGAAATTCTAGAAAAAAGTTGGAGAGGCTTCCAAAGTTTATTCTTATGAGATGAAAGTCTTCCCTTTGGCAAAATTGATAAGTGTTGGTAAGGTGGCGTTTCGTAGTTGCCTTATAAAGAATAAGGCAATGCACAATTGAATTTATGTATGCACGAATGTGTTTATATGCACGATTTCATGCACCCGAAGAGTTGATCAAATTTCATGTTAAAAACCAAAAAACCACCATAAATAAGCCCTTGCCTCTGCCACACCTATCATCTCCTTGTTAGGATCAACCTTTTCTAGAGTCAGTACATTTGTGACCGTAGCAGAGCCAGAAAGGCAGCTTTCACGCAATACGAGTGTGATGAGGTGAAACATATTAAAAAATTGGAGGGTCCCTTTCAGTTAGACATTGACCCTATTTTGTCTCTGGTAAGTTTTAATAGTTCAAATAGCAAAATTTGCAGTACGAATTGAATCGAATACGAAACATTATTCAAAAGATGTTCAAAAATATGAATATTTGTGTACCCCTACTTATTGTTTACTTCACATTTTTCACCCCATTTTTTGTTCTCAGTAGAAAAGACATGTGCCCTTCTAAATGCTGTGCTAAGGCCACAGATCACAACTCATGCACGTGCCTAGAGCTCCACGCATATTCTTCTGTGAGACCTTCTATTTACCTGTTTGAATTCAAAATTGTGGAACCTCTTGGATCAATTTTCACTATTGAAACTTTGTTCTTTGAAGTAGTTGTGCTTGTAAGTTTTAAGTGTTAAAGCAATAATATAAGAGTGAGTGTAACGATGTTAACTCCCACACAAGAAAAAACGATCACAGAGACATTTTTCTCCTGCAGGTTCATTTGAGAGGCAGAAGAAGGAGCAGTGGGCTTGGCTGTGGTCGTGATGCAAGGAGGCCACAAAGCTCCTGTGGAGTGTCCTTCAGCTTCAGAACAAGAGCCTCATAGTAGCCCCGTGTTGGAGTATTTGTGCATCAAGGTGACAAACAGGTGCACCTGAACGGGGCCCTGACAGTGAGAAATTTGGAGGTTGTGGCTAGTGATTATTGCTTAAAGAGGTACTGACGCAAATTTTTGTCTTGCAATATTAACATTGTTGACAGCCTATTAGTCACAATGTGGCGGATCGCTTGCTGCAGCATGGGACAGATGGACAATTGCTGTCTGCTTATTACAGACTAGTTTTATCTTGGCACAGCTCTGAGAACACGAGCCACGGAATGCAACAAATATATGCCAGCTAGTGTGCTAAATGGTACACATAAACGGGGCTTCCAGGTGTAAGCACTTGCACAGCAGGTCTATCAATAGTGAAAGTGGGCGGTGACAACCGACACAGTAATCAAGCCGCTTGGGCAAACAGCTCCCGCTCGGCGCTTCTGGCTTAAGAGATGGTCCACCATGGCGTATTGTTCTTCTTCCTCCTTACACACAGAACACTGACGCACTTCCGTGCTGCCTGCGTTAAGTGCTCACATTCTTTTGCTGCTGCATATGCAGCACAATGTCGTTGGCGTCAAGTTGATCGTTCTGGTTTGGGTGCAAAGATTTTCTTGGGGCATCCTCACGTTCCACATGTTTACATTAGGCATGGACACAGCAGTTACTGAATAGTAGCCTGCTAGCACAAGTGTGGCCAAAAGGCAACAACGACTATGATGTCAATAATGTAGCTGTGCCAACTCTGAGCTCGGCAACAATGGTGGCACCTGGAAGTTGGGACTCAGCTTCAGGTCACTTTCAGTGATTCAACGATGCGAGATGCGGCATATAGCACTGGTTCAGGCACGAAAACTTTAATATTCATATAATTGGCCGTCTGAGCTATAATTGTTCATCCAATTTGTAGATATACGCATGTTCAAGGGAATCGATGTCGCAGGCTATATTAGCCACAACATTTTGTGCCAGTACTCTTTATGGTATTTCGCTTTATGTTTTAACTTACAGTTAAACAAATAAGTAAA